ATAAATAAATAAAGAAATAAATAATTATAAATGAAATATATAAATTTAGTAATATGCTAACTAAATTAGTAGAACAAGAAAAAAGAAAAATTTCACTAAGAAAACTATCTATAGTTAAAATAACTCAAATATATCATGTAACTTTTCTTGACATAATTAGGTAATTGTGACATAGTATGTGATATAGCAATAATCTGCAAGATAAAATATAAATCTGATATAATTATTCTAATTTTGTTATAAGAAAGAACAAGAAGAAAAAATTGCTTTATACATTTTTAAAATAACATCCAAACTCTCCAGCAATATCTAGATCATGAAAAAATCACTTATGATATTTAAATTACTTTTTTAATTTTAATCAAGATTATCTCTTATTTTCTTTAACTTCAATTTAAGAAATATATTGGATTTGTTATTTTCTTAAGAATTCAATCTCATTTTCAAGTTTTTGAATTTTATCTAATAATTCCTATTTCTGCTTATTATGTCAATTCTTTTAAACTTCCAAAGCTTTCAAATGAGAATTAATTTTCTTTTTGGCAATAGCTAATTACTATTTCAAGTCTTTATTTTACTATTCTAATCTATCTATATAACTCTGTGTCATTATCTCCATTATAGTTAAAATTTTGATTAATTCATCTTTTCTTAAATTACAGAAGTAATTTACTCTGTTTCTCATAGCTCAACCATAATTATTATAGTGTAACAAGATATTATTATCAAGATCTCTTTTACATTCAACATAAATATAGATAATATCATTATAACTACTAGTTTTGATATTGTAGGCTACCATTTCATGAGTGGCAATTGAGTTTTTATTACTCTCAAAAGAACAGAAATTACAGTATTAACTGTTTTTTCTTCCCAACTGACTGATCTGATATTTTAATTTCATGTTACTTGCTCTTTTGTAAGATATAAGCATTAAACTTCTTCTTAACTATTTTCTTAGTTTGGTTCACTTTACTTTTTATCTTACTACCTAACAGTTTAAACTTATTAGTTTTCTTTAGTAAAACTGATAATTCTTGAAGTTGTTTACATGTCATATAATTCTGTCATGTCACAAAATTTTCTAGTAATTTTATTATTGCAGAAGCTTTATCCAAATCATTTTCTTTGATTTTGATAATCTCTGTAAACAAGCTAACTTTGAATTCTCATCTTTCTAATCTACTTACTTCTAAGACCTTTTCAGCTTTTTCTTGCTCCATTTCCACTTCATTTTCCAATTCTTCTACTCTGAATTCCAATTCCTTTTGCTTAGTTTCTAACTCTTTTTGCTTGATTTCTAATTCTACAACCTTTGATTCTAACTCAGCATTCCTTTCTTCTAATTCTTTATTCTTTTTAGAAACAAAACTATAACTATCACAGTTAAGCAATGTTCATTCAGCACAACCTTTAACAAAATTTTCCAGGATTAACTCATCTTTGGGTAGAAAATGTTGTTCCAAAGTCATTAAAGTTCCAGCAATTTCTGGATTTTCACTCTCCTTAACACTTTCAACTGCATTATAAATTCTTAAGTTTAAGTCTTGTTCTTTGTTTGCTAATTCAACTAATTGTTGTTTTAAATTTTCGTTTTCTTCTAACAGGTTTTTATTTCTCTATTCGAGTTCATTTATGATGTTTACCATTACATTTTTATTTATTATTTAATATACTCATATGGCTATATTAAGTATATAATTATTTTAATATTTCTTTTTATTTAAGATTTAAAAATTAAAGCGGAAAAATTCGTTGAAATTAGTGGATAACGTGAGGAATTACTAATGGAGAGAATTTTAATATTTTACTCATTGCCAGGATATATTGGTCTTGGACAAGTAAGGTCTTTAAATTCATCTCTAACAAATGGGCGAATATTATGATAAAGATACTCTTGCCTTTTGTAATCCAAAGGAGAAGGGGTTAGTACTAGAATTGAAAAGGATTTAATTTCTTTGGTAACTTCAGAAACACTTGCTTTTCTAGTTTTTAACAAATTAAATTCAGTATAAATGCCATTAGCGACCAGCTGAGCTTTGACAACACCAGGTTTGGCTGCTTCGAATACAAAATGCTGATACTTTTGTAAACCACTCAATTTCTTAAAGAAAATTCCCAACACGGAATTAATATCTAAATATTGAAAACCTTTGCCGTTTTCATAGCACTGAGCCTTGTTTAATCCCGCTGCACTTGATTTTTTCACAACCTCAACGATATGTTTTACACAATTTACCGTTGTTTTTCGGTATAGTTTTTTAATTAATCCGAAACTACCGTCACATTTGAATTTAGTATGTCCCGGTACCATAAAATTTAATTCGATACTTTCATAATAGCCGCAAATTACTAAATATAAGTAAAATCATATAGTAGCATTGTTTTTATTTTGTCCTCCCGCGTTATCACAAGTAATCTTTAAATATTTTTCGCCTTTATTCAATTTCTTAATTCCATCGAATACCAGGCTCAGTGTGCCGTTAGGGCCCTTGCCGATAATTTCGTCTTCGTCAAGAACGTAATTAATTTGTTCGCGTACTGCTTCATCTTGAATACCAAATAAATGTACTTTACGCGGACTGAGATAGTAAATCTTACTTACCTGTTGATCGGAATGGGGCACGTGAACAGTAGCGTCAACGCTACAATAATCAGCTTTACCTTCTTTTACAACGTAATTAATTTCCTGCTAATTTCGTATTTTCGTGGTAATAATTTCTTTCTAATTTAGCTTTAATTATATGTTCTTTAAATTTTTTTAGTAAATCTTTCGCTTCTTCTTCCTTGCGAGCATTATACTGTAAGCCATTCCGGAAATGTTGGCACGTGTCACATAAATCCGTTCTTGGACTCATGATTTGAATATAAGGCGTTAATTTATGCCACAACTTGCGGAATGCGTCATATTTTAATAATTTCAATGTGTTATCGTTTTCAAGTCCTGCAATAAAATCACGATAGACTGACTTATAACTCGTTTCGGCTGGCAAAAGTGTAAGCGATTGAGTAATGCGATT